CAAGCAAAAAAAAAAGCGGGAAGGAAGATCAATGTGCGCTAACAAGGAAAGGGTTTTGGCAAACCCCGCACTCGATGGTCTCTGATCCTGAGATTGGAACCTGAACCTGCAATTTAAACGGAATTGATCTCATAACCGCATACATGGTATCAAGAGATACTACAAAAAGCAAACTTCAAATTTCCAATCTGTTTTTATACCCACTTGCTTTAATTAACTGTATGTTCAGATGATTAAGCGACAATCTCCATGATCCAATTTTAATAGACGACCATACCTAGCTGTTTGATACTAGAGATCTTCATAGGTAACAGTTCTATCCTCACATTTATAAAATAAAGGATCCTAGGAGTAGGAGGCAAGTCCTCCTCAGATTATGTCAAATGAAGAGATCGCATAGATGCATGGTAAGATTATCAACATTTGTCTAGCTATTCTATTTCGTCAATGTATTTGCAAGATGATCATAAACACCGACACAAGTGATTATACATATGAGGACCAGCCTATTTTCGTTCTAGAAAATATAGGCCTGGAAATCAAACAAAGAAAGATGGGTTATCAAAGAATCTAACCTGCAAGTGAACTGTACATGTTGGACAAGCTACTTCCTTCATCCGCCTCCCAGATCCTTCCCTTGAACCTTTTAAAACCATACCTATCATTCTCAGTAACCATAAATGACCAGAAACAACAAACCAAATCCGTGAAGTACATTAAATATAAAGAATTACCTGATGAAGACTTGCGGTTCTTCTCCATTTCCTCCTGTGGCATACATATCCACAATCAGAAAACAAGTATATAGTTTGTGCCGGATATCAACACAAATTCCAAATCGTCGAAATTAATAAAGAACCCGGGGAGATAAGCTCACCTGTAACTTCCTAGCGAGGTCTTCATGGCTCTGCACACTCACGTTCCTGCTAGCGGATTCCTTGGCATTACTCAACCTTTGTGACACTTCTGCCTGCACATCAAAAATTAGTTTCATATAAGCAGCAAAACTTTTAAAACTTAAGAGGTCCACCTGACATAACAAGTTACCAATACAAATTTACTTTTAACTAGAAGAAACCAAGATACATGATTCCTCAACTTAAGGAAAAATGAGCAGAACGTACCATGCACCGGTCGCAGACACGGACTTGGGTTGCATTCTCCTCTGCAGTGAGAGCAATCCTACCTTGAGTACATTTGTCACAGAAGACGTCACCACAGTTCCTGCAGTGATGCTGAAATACAAATAATAATCCATAAGATTTGTCAGTCCCGACATGGCCGAGAACTTAATTCCAGAATAGACCATCAGGGGGAAACAATACCCTTCGCATAAATGCACCAAAATCTGACCCACATGATGTGCACTTCGAAACAGCTTCATCAGGGACCTGAAGCCAAAAATAAGTGGAGTGTGAACAATTAGACCACAGCTAACCAAGACCGAGAAAAGCGGGAAGTGATTTTTTCCACCAAAACTACCCTAGCCTTTCGATTCGACAACAAGAGAGTTATGTTAATTTTCCAAAGAAATGAAAAATCCTACCCAATGATCTTTCTCCTCATTTACAGGCTTGATAATGTTCATCCAATCACCCAATCCTTTCTTCTTCTCAGCAGATTGTTCAACTAGTTTTGCAGAGGCAGGAGGCCTGCTACTTCCCCCAATCTCCTTGGCCTAAAACCCAAAACCAGAAATTATTGGATTAATCAACGGAAAGCATAATGAAACGGGCCTAAATGATATAAAACATGCAGGTTTAGGAACCTGAAACATTGCAGCTGTCACCGTGTCCAGAAGGGTGTTGGTGGTGTAACTATTTGATTGCAGTCTGATACGTCTAGCTTCAATGTCTACCGGAGTCTTAGACCAAAAAGCCAGAATGGAAGAATCTAGTTTCTGATAGAAAGATATTAACAATAGACATAAGACTTTCATTCATGCAAATGGAACCAAAAAAAAATTTCTTGGGAAGAAGGTAGCTAAATCTCTTACTTCGCATCTTGTGATGTTCTCAAGAGGATATATTCTCAAAGTCCGGCTAGTACTGGGATCAAGCATACGTAGACCATCCAAACCAATCTGCTAGCACAAAACAGGTAACCGATTAACTATAATGCTAATCTCACATCGGTCTAAATGATCATACCATCATCATTGAGCTCAGTAAGCGTCGACAAGATTAAGCAAATGTACGACTACAATTGGAAGATAAAAATATTGAATTGGCTTATTACCTGGCAAAGAACATCTGTTGTGGTTTGTCCGTAGGTCTCAGCTAACAATTTGACACGGAATTTCTGCACACCACCATTGGCATCTTCCTTAACATCAGCCTTGGGAACAGCTCTCACGATCTTGGCAGAATTCGAGCTAGCAGAAGAAGAATCTCTACCCGAAGAAAAGCTAATGGATCGTCCATAATCATCGAACAAAGTCGAATTGGATGATTTCGGTGCAGTTCCACGAGACCCGTAAGGCTCAACTTTGCCTCCTTCATAAGCATAGACACCATCTCCATAGGAATCTTCATAAGCTGGATATCCTCCTCCGCCGCTCTCAGATCGTTTACCGTATAGATCTGAGCCTAAATCCGATCTGCTACGGCTGTAATCGCCAAACGCAGGTTGATCTAATTTCACCGGCTTGTCGTATGGTCTTTCATACGAAGGAGGAGGCATGGAAGATGCCGAGTACAAGGAAGATGAGTAAGGCGGAGTATGAACAGGATTAGGATTCGATGCAGCCGCAGAAGGAGGAGGATGAGGTGCAGGAGAATAGCCAGAGGTCTGATGCTGATCATACGGTGAGTAATACATCGGTTGCGTAGTGGATTGCTGATACGGAGCAGTGGAGTCAAAGGATCCGTAAGAGGATGCAGAAGGATGAATCGGGGGCGGTTGTTGTTGGTTGAAAGTTGAATAAGAATTAGGGTTTAAAGACGTCGCTGGAGGAGAAGGAGGAGGCTGTTGTGCCGCGGGAGTGAAGGAAGGAGCTGAAGGAGGGACATGCTCAGTGTTTTGCCCGTACGGAGGATAATTCTGGGAATAATTAGAGTAATCGGTGGTTCCGTAACCGCCGGTGAACGGTGGTGCCGATGCGTATGTGTTCCGAGAAAGATCGGTCGGACCAGCGACGGTTGGTGTTGGCGGAGAAGGATTGGGATTGGGGATCGGTGTAGGGTTTTGATATTGAGGGTACTGCTGGTGGTGATAGTACGAACTGTAATCTCCCTGTTGCATCGCTGAATCGGTGATCGGAGTTTGCTTGGTTTTAACGTCGTCGGCGATGATACGATCAGATTAATCGGAGAGGAAAAAGATTACGACGAAAGCGTGGGAGAAGACGAAGATGAAAGATAGATTGTAGAGTCAAGGGAATAATCTGGTGAGGGCAGGATTGTCTGTGTCGCAAACTTCGTTAATAAGTTTACACGTGGCGTTAGACTTCACCGTCGATTAGAAAGTAAGAGAAGACTTAACGCGTGATAGAGATGATACGACGCCCACAGATGGTCACATAATCAAATTTTAAATTAATAATTTTGCGCGTATTATAAAATTGGGCTTTCAAATCTGTGAAGCCCAATGATGAAGATCCACTAGCTCACCAATTTAAGTTTAGAGTAGGAAAGACGCAAGGGGGTAAAAGGGGTATTTCAGATGACGTAGCAATCTCGGACCGAGCTTCACGGGGATAAATGCTAAATTACGAAGATAGCCCTGTGATCTCTTAAACGATTAGGGTTTCCTTTTTATTATTCCCCTAAGTATAGGCCAAGTCGGCGGATCTCAGTGATTCACGCGTCTTTAAATAGAGACCTTACCCTCTCCATTATTTTCTCATCCGCAAATTGGTTTT